TTTTGTGTTTTTTGTTATTGTGTGTCTTGGTTGTTGTATGGATGTGGGTTTGTGTGTTGGTAAACTGGACAACATTTGAATGTGGTACATGGGTGAGTTGCTATTTGGTTTTGTGAGTTGGTATGTTGTTGAGTCTGAATGGTTCGCGTTTCGTAAGTCACATAAAATAGAGGGTGTTATGTGTTTTGTGTGGGTTTTTTTTCTGTAATGACTTTTGTACGTGGTTGTGTGGCATGTATGTGATTTGAAATGCATGGTAAATGTGTTTGTGTTTTGTGTTGCAAATGGCGATAGGGTAAGGAGTCCGTGGACACGTTCATGTGAACGAAAACGTGTTGAGGGGCAAACTGGGTCAAATGCAAACAACCTTGGAGTGAAAATGCAGGGGCGAATCTTATTCAAGCAAGCTAAAATAAGAAAAGGTGAAGATGCGCGGTCTGTGGGTAAGCTTGTAACGGGGTGCCAGCCTAAACACAACACGAGGATGAACTTCCGTTCAAACATTGCAGGGACAATAAAGCTTGTGAGTATGGCAAACCTGCAAGAGGGACACTTGAATCAGTTGAGAAGAACACCATTCTGGGTTATGATAGAGGCGATACATGTCAACAAGTTGAACCATAACGAATTCCGAAAGTGTAATGAGTTAATATGCAAAATTATAAAGGCATACAATGAGCGGGAGAATGCATTCAGCATTGGAGGTTCAATGGTGAAACTTGGTAGCAGTGACATTAGGTTAATCTTCGGATTACAATGTGGGAAGAGGCGCATGGACTTGTCACCTGGACAAAGACCAGCATCGGACTTCATTCAACGTAGGTGTTCTGAAACTTCACACATAACATCGAAACTAGTGAAGACGTTATTTTTAGAGGCTGTTAGTGGTCATAGCAAACAAGATGAGGAAGACGCTGCGAAACTATTAGCGCTGTACATTTGTGGGAAGCTTTTTTTCGCCAACTCTGGAGAGACAATAAGTTAGACATTTGTTCGGTACTTGAACAATCTGAATACCATACGGATGTATGACTGGACAGGCGCAATCTTGTCAACGTTGATGGGGTCAGTCAAGGATTTTCATAAAACGCAGGGGAAGGTGACCGGCTGCGTGGTTGCGTTGCTGGTAAGTGTGTGACTGAATGTTTTGTGGTTATTGTCTTGTATGTGTGGTTGGGTTTATTTGCACGTTTAATTGGATTATTGAATTTTGTGGTGTGTGTGTCGTAGTATTGGTTGTGTGAACATTCTACAATAGTGGAGCCTGACACCGAAAACATGTTTCCAAGGTTCCGTAAATGGGGCATTGGAACACTGCTGAATAAAGCGCAAGGGGTAGAATTTGCTGGTGCTGTAACGTTCCAAGTATGCACGACGTTGGTTCCCAATATGGTTGTTGTGGAACTTTGTCTGTTGTAGTCTGATAATGACCTTTGTAATTTTAAAATGTCATTGTGTTTGTCTGTGTGAACAGGTGAAGACTGATCGTCTGAGGTCTCTTGAGTATGAACGGGAAATGATGGGATTGGATGTCGAAGCGGCTGACAGAGATGTGGCCGACGTTGTTGACATTGGCGCAAACAATGTTGGCAGTGAAGATGATTTTGTTGACAGAGTTAATGTAATGAAAGAGACAGTTGATGTTGGAATGTGGGGTGGGAGTGTTGAGGCACGTGGGAAAAACAAAATTGGCAAGAGTCATGCGGGTAATGTGCGTGATCATTCAGTGGGTGTGTTCGGCGCTGGGCTGGATGTACAGTGTGAATCGATTAGTGCATATGAAAATTACACGCAGGTAGATTCTAAACTAGAAGAAGCGTTAACTGCAATCACAACACATCAGCTGCAGAACAAAAACAAGGACAAATATGATATCACTCCTTGAAGAAGAGATTACTAAGTTGAAGAATAAGAGCGACTTGCAGGCTGTGAACATAGTTGGCGGTTTTGGATGTGTTTTGAAGATAAAAGATGAGGAGCTTGAAAATTTGAGGAAGGAGAATGGGGAAATGCAGAAAAAAATTTCATTACTGGAAGACCAACTGGAGGACCGTGACGTGCATGTTGTCACGCAAGCATTCCGTGACGCTAGAGATAAGCAAGTTACTGGTGGAAGTGGCACGGGGTGCAGTGGGTATGATGGGTTGTTTTTGTGTGATGTGTCACCGTTACGAGCAATCAATGATTGTGCATGGCAGGCAGGCAATGAACCGAATGAGGTGGAGGTGCATGATCCAATGGATGTCCAGTAGTGTGATGCGGAAGTAGAAGTGTTGCCATATGTGGGTAAAGGAGTACCGCGGTTGGGCGGGCTAAATTCGTTGGTATGTAACATTAAAGGCAAAGTGAGAAAGGAGCGGAAGTTGGCAGACTATGAGTACCCGTTGTTAGGGGTTCGTGATAGAAGGATGGGATCAAAAAATGATAATGTTGGGGGAGAGAAGAACTGTGTGAGTGGTAATGCCGTTATAGATGTGGATGCAGTTGAGGTAGCAGAGGAAAAATGGTCGGGATTTGATATCAACAACAGGTTAGGGGTGTGGAAGATGATGACATTTGAAGAGAAGACGAAGATCAAACAAGTGTATGATCATAACGGCGACGGGTAAGGTTTTTTTTATTGTTTCTCTTTTGTTATTCTGTTGTTGTGTGTGCATCACCCTTCTGTATGGATTTTAAAAACATATTTTTTGTAGGGCTATTGTGTGGGCAGACGATTCTACCGGCGTGACAATAGACTTTACAGATTTGAAGGGACTGGTTAGACAAAGCAGTGTACGGGGCAATGTACATTCAATTTTATCTTTAATGATTTATACTTAGCGTTTTTTAGTTGTAGAGTATGAATGTAGCAAATGGTGGCAGCATGCGATGTGGTGGTGTTTTTGTTTTTTTTTATTTTTTTGAGGCGTAGTTGTTTTGTGCAACGCAAGTGATTGATGCCTATACGGAGCTGTTGAAAACTGATCAGCTGAAGGTGTTTGGAAATGATGATCAGGCAGACAAATCATATTTTTTCAGTAGTGTTTGCCTGGTGAGTTGTTGTGGGTGGGTGGTAAGTGATTATGTTGTGGTTATTTATAACGTGGTGTGGTTGTTGTATGTGTGCAGGATATGGTGAAAAGCGCAGATGTGGGAGGCTTTGATAAGTTTGTGCGGAAGAATATTTCTGCCGGTACCATGTGTCGGTTCATTCATTTCCCGATATGCCATAATGGACATTGGACACTTGTCGTATACGATACTAAGAGCGGTGAGTGGAAGCATTACAATCCGATGCGGCAACGTATGGACAGGGTAGATGTGCATTACACGGAAGCGCTTTTGTTGGTAAGTTGATAAGTAAGGTTTGTTGATGTGTGGGTGGGACTTATGTGTTCACTGTTGTATGTTTTTTGCATGTGTGGCAGAAGGAACGGGTGACGAACGTCATGAAACAGTCGCTGCTTGAGTTGGGAATGGATGTTCTTAGCATCGAGTCTGATTTTGATCATGTGCTGGAGGCTGTGAGTAGGTGCCCACAGCAAAAAGCAGAATCGTAAGTGTGGTAGTTATGAAAGTGGTGACCTATTGTGTGGGTGAGTAGTGTTGTGTACTTCGCATAGTTTTACTGATTTAACGTAAATGTTGTTCAATGTAGGCTTGACTGTGGGATAATTGTGTGTGCCATAAAGCGACAGTACGTGCACCATTGTGATGTGGAACGGACACTGCAAGGTTCCAACTGCAGCGTGTTGCGTGCAAATATGGTGAAGTCTTTCGTCAATGATCCGGTGCGGGGGTTGATATAGTATATATGTTTGCTGGTGCTTGTTTTGGGCTGATGGCATTATCATTAAATTAGATATATTTTTGCAAAATGTGCATATGACAATTTTTTGTTAGAAAGGTTGTTATTCCCGTGTAGTTATTTAGGTTTGAAACATACTTTTAGTAGTTTTTGGTGTTGGTTTTTGCAGTTGTTCAACGTATGTTTTTTGGTGTTGACATACAGTCGTTGTCCAGTACTTGTCACGGGTTTTGAATGAAATTAGTTTTGGTTGGACAAATAATTTTGTGTGTTTATTGCTGTGTATGTATGTTGGCGGTTATTATTATGTGCATGATACTTGGGAAAAAATGTCGACGAATGTAGCCACGTTTCTTTGGAAACGTAGCGATATTAGTACGTGTAGTTTGACTGTGTTGAGTTGTGGTTACTGTGTGACTGCTTTTAAGTGGCGTAAGTCATGTATGTTGTGATCTTGTATCTATGACGGTACAATATGAAAAGGACAGGGGATTATTAGGCAGGTCGGATTTATTGAGTGTGCATTATTTGTCGATGTTAGGTGGATTGATTGGTATAATGTGGTTTTGAAATGTGAATGTAACATTATAATGTTGCGAATCAATTAGCCGTCAAATTGTACAACGTAATAACAGGATAATATTAAGGTTCGTGCGTTGCATGTTACGTATCTTAAAAAAATAACAGAAAATGTTGTTGAAGCTGAAAACATTCTGAAAATGTAGCCACGTTTCTTTGGAAACGTAGCGATATTAGTACGTGCAGTTTGACTGTGTGGAGTTGTGGTTACTGTGTGACTGCTTTTAGGTGGCGTAAGTCATGTATGTTGTGATCTTGTATCTATGATGGTATAATATGAAAAGGACAGGGTATTATTGGACAGGTCGGTTTTATTGGGTGCGCGTTTATTTGTCAATGTTAGGTGGGCTGATTGTGTTAATGTGGTTTTGAAATGTGAATGTAACATTATAATGTTGCGAATTAATTAGCCGACAACTTGTGAAACGTAATAACAGGATAATAATAAGGTTTATGCGTTGCATGTTACGTATCTTAAAAAACAACAGAAAATGTTGGTCAAAGCTGAAAACATTCTGAAAACATCAAAAGTGTTACGGGTCATAGTGTGTGGCAAACCCGATTATTCTCATTAAAAACATAAAGACTATAAAAATGTTGTATTTGAAAATATATGTGGCTGCATGTAATGCTAAATTGGTTTTTTGCACGTCTTTCTGTTGTGGTTCCCCAAACGTTGGCAACGGCTGCATCTAATCTGTTGAACTTCTTTCCCCCTTGAAAGCATTCGTTTTTTTTTGGGCCTTCCCGGTGGTCGTTTGACAGCTGGTGGTTGTATGATGTAATCTTCAATGCTAAATGGTGGTTTCTCAACCGTGGGTATGGGGTGTATGTTGCAAGCGTAAGAATTCCGGTACTCCGACACATGGTAATACGGATCGACTACATTATAAAGGTCGAGTCCGCTGTTGCGAATAGCAACAACAGCGTGAGCACAAGGGAACCCTTTGATTTGCCACTGGAAACATGAGCATGTACGCCTTCCCACATCAACCATTACTGATGGAAAAGAGTGGACCTCGAAAATCTCATTGTTGGATTGACTTAGAAGCCATGATCTGCCTTTGTTGTATGCTTTAACTAACTGATCTTCCATCTTTGGGCAAACAACACCAGGCCACGATTGCGCCTTGAGTCGGCGTTTGGACATCTGTCGCATAATCTTGGTCTGAATACTATCAAGCAATTGAGTGATTAGGAGGTGGCGTGCTTCCCGTATCCATGAGTTGAATGACTCGACGGCATTAGAACTCATTTCGCCATAACGCGCACCGCTGGTGGGATAGATACAGTGACTTTGTTAGTGACTTTATTGGACAGAAATATACAAGGTGGCATTGTGAGCATGACACAATATAAATTTGGTAAAATTAAAAGTGGTAACTGTGTACCGGAAATGCGCATTTGCCCAGTACTGTGGCGATAAATCTTTTAAGAAAGCTGGTGCCGCCTTGGGACTAGCCTTCATGAACTCCTCCAATTTCTCGTTGAATGCAACAACTGTTGGTGCATACGCACAAGATCGGAATTTTGACAACAAACACGCGCGGTATGAACTGTTGACGTAGCGTAATTTGTCTTGCAAGTTACGTTGCAAATGTTCTAAGCAAAATGCGTGATGTGCTGTGCGAAATATGGCTGGGATTGATTCCAGCAGGCCTGCGTGTCGGTCGGACAAAAATGTTAGTTCTCTTTGGCTGTTTACAACGTTTGCGAGGTGTCCTAAAAACCAAGCCCAATTTGTAGTGTTTTCGGAATCAACAATGGCTATGGCTAAAGGGAATAGACCTGCATGCAATTAATTTGTCAAAAGGTCAGTCGAGTATTTTCTTGTAGAATAATGTGTACATTAATGTAAACAGACATGATCGAATATGGCAAAACATGTTGCGCATGGTCACACAAAAACGTCATACCTTGGTTGCCATCTTTCGCTGTGGTGGCTAGCAAGTTCCCCTTAAATTTTCCCTTCAGAAATGTCCCATCCAAAAAAAGCATTGGTCGACAATGGGCGAAACCATCAATACATGCTTTGAATGATATGAAATACCTTAAGAAACGGTTGTGTTGTTCGTCGTACTCAATGTTGATATAACTGCCTGGGTTGTTAGTCATAACTGCATCGCTGTACCAACGTAATTGGTCAAACGAGATTAAGTGTGCACCGAACATTTCACCACGGGCTTTCGACACCTAACCAGGCAACCCGATAGCTAACCTCCAAACCGTAATCTTTTTTCAAGTCGTACACAACATCAGTGGGACGTGTGAGGGGTTTGTCACACACCCGTTTAGAAATGACATCAGACACTAAGTTAGAACCAGCCTTTGGGTTTTTGGGTGTCCGAATGGAAACACCACAGGTGTGCAAGCCATTCCACTTACATACGTAAAAAAAACCATTGGCATGTAAAACACATGCATGTACGGACCACATACATCCCTTCGATTCGCACATCATGCATATTGCTGTAATCCGAACAGAATCATTCTTAATATATTTGAAGCGAAATCCGCACTCCACCGCATACTTGCGAAGAACCGTTCGAAATTCAGCAGCTCCCCCTTCAAAACTTTGACCAACATTTCAAATTCCGTTCGCCCATGGAGCAGACAAAAAAACCTTATCGACGTGGGGACAATATTTGTCCAAACAATCTTGTTCGTCATCCATATTCGACTCGTCAGACAACACATCCGACAGACATGGACCAATGTGTACATTGTTTTTGGGATAGTGAACATTTTCTGAATATCCCGCACGTGGTACCTCAATAATAACATCGATGCATTGCACCCGAAAAGATCGAGCAAGAGATATCATGTTCTGCATATCGACATCATTCTGTAATGTGAAGTTATTGTAACTTGGCATTTTGAAGAAATAACACAGATTGGCAGGTGTGAGTCCGGGGAATTTTTCGTAAACATGATTCACCAAGTCCTGAAATCGAAATGGGGCTTCCAAATTGACAGCGGCATTTGTATTACCGTAACAACATATCAACATTACATGTGTATCCATCGGCTGTAACAGAACACAAGCCCACGCATTCAGAATATGAAATTCAATAAGCAGACAAAGTCACACAACCTCACCCTAGAAATTAATAATAGTGCCACTACAAAAAACACAGATTCAGATACACATACATGAAGCACCCATACGAAATCAGCAGCATCCCAGTCCCCACAACCCACATCCCAGTGAATATTCAAACATTGTAAACACATCCACACAAAGACAAACCACCACACAAACGAAACCCACTATCCTATCTCCCCTCCGGCTAATGCATCACCACAAACACCCACATTGACCATACCCTACTAACACCAATTCATACACATGCCCAACATATTATGTAACATGACGTCAACGTAATGGTGCAATCTAGTCCACAAAACAAATCAATAAAACGCATAAATCAACATCGCAAAAAAAAGCATGACATACCTGCAAACCAACTGACATTGTCGAGGTCTAAAGTGCTGCATATGCCACCGAAACACACAGGCGTCACAACACCAACACTACGACGGCACACCACAAACCCTAACAAATAAGTGGTTGACCCATCCTTTGAAGCAATATTCAACTTACCAAATATGGTGTAACATTCCCAAAAGAAAACGTATGCCCATGAAACACGTCCCACTGAACAAATTGAGGGCACAATCGTCACAAATTAATACAAAAAATGGAAAAAAGGATCAAATGGAACATATCTGTCTAGTAATAGGACTTATTGGTTCAACAGTTTAAATTGGGGATTGATTGGTATAGTTGTTTGTGAGGTAGGATTTATTGGTAAATAATCCATAAATGAATTGGGCTGAATTGAATACGGGTTGAATAAATGAAACCAATCAACCAATTTACTTTATCTCTTTTATGATATTTTAATTTAAAATATATATATATATATATATATTTTTTATGATGATGATGGTAGTAGTGGAGCGAAGATGGTGGTGGCAAAGTAATGATGGTGACAATGGTGGTGATAGTGGTGGAGTGGCGATAGTGGAGGATGAGGTGCTGTTGTTGATGTGGTGGTGGTGGTGATGATGGAGGAGAAGGAGGAGATAAATTAATGGTAAAAATGATGCCTATTTAGATGGGCTTCGGTAGGTATGGTAAAAGTGATGCCTATTTAGATGGGCTTCGGTAGGTATTCAGGTTCAACTCATATAATTCTAATTTTAATTGGGTTGAGAATGACTAATTTATTTAAATCTATTTATTGATTTGGACAAGTTTATATAGGTTTCAAATAGATATAATTGGGCTGATTCAGGAGTTGGATTTGGTTTGCCACTTCTAAATTTAATGATTAAAATATTAAGTTTATTTAATAAAAATAGATAAATAATTCAAATTAAAAATAAATTAAAAAATCAAAGCTAAAATTAACAAAATTTAAAATTTATTTTGTTTAAGATGATAGTTTTTTTTTTCCTTGAGAATAAATTATTTAAATAATTTTTTGACTTTCATGAATAGATATGTTAAAAATAAAAAGAGTAATGTAATACCTTATAATAATTTTTTTTTGATTAAAATATATAGTTGACAAGGGGCAAATATTTTCTAATAAATTTTTAAAAATATTTTGAAACTCTAATTTGTAAGTTTTAATTGTTCTAATGTATTAAAAATGGGATTAAATAACCAAAAAAAAAAAAAAAAAGACAAAAAAAAAGTCAACACACCCCAAACGAACCTTACAGAAGTATCATTGTTGATATATTTTACACTCGCGTCACTTGTCAGGGATAGAGGGGGAGACCGAGAGTATAATCAGAAACATGAACCCGATGTCGATCTGTACTCCATCATCTTCTTCTTCGTCCTCTTCTGGATCTTCAATCTCAACCAAAGCATGGATCGTTCACGGCGTCGTAATCGGAGCTGCGGTGGCGGTGGCACTCGGCGCTCACGCATACCTCTATCTCCGCCTCGGATCCAGCAAGTTCCGGAGCCGAGTCGTCGGAATCATTCCTGTTCGTTTCGCTTCCTCTCGCTTCCAAGGCAAACCTCTCGTTCAGATCCTCGGAAAACCTATGATCCAGGTTCTACTTACTACGCATTATTATCACTCTCCATCAATTGCAATTGCTTTGCTTTCTTTTGTTTCGAATTTGAATTTGAATTTTGTATTTTCATTGTTTTAAGATCTCCATTTCTTGAATTGACAATCAATACCGTTCGAATGTCGTGTTGTTTACAAAAACTTGTCAAATTAGTTCTAGAGATGAAATTTTAAGAAGAGTTTTTCTTTAATTAAAAATGGTTAAACACGGATTTTTTTTTTTTTTGGGATAAGTTTGGAAATTTTCAAAAACCAGTTGATGAACAAAAGAGAGTAAGGATTGGAGTGTTCCATATTTTGACTTAAATTTATGAAAAATCAGAGTAAGGATTGGAGGTGGGGTCCGCAATTTTGTGGGCCCCACACCCATGTGAGACATTTGGTCATTTATTTGGTAGAAAATTTGGGACCTCTAGCATTTTTCTTTTTTAAAATCTCTTCAAATTTGAGTAAAAATATGACTGTTAGAAATTTGGTGAAACATTTGGTTCATATTTGATTTACTAAAAAGAAAAATTTTCCCTGTCCATTAATTTGATACTGATTTGATGAAGTGGCTGTAGCACACTTTTAGCCATTTTTTTGTCATATTTGAATTTTATGTAAAAAATTGATGAAGGATTGGAAATGCTCTTACACACACAAGTGATGGGTTATTTTTTTGGTGGACATTTGATTGGAGTTCTGTTTATGTTTTGCTAGATCTAGTGAGTACTTTGTCAAATGAAAGGCTGTTGCTTGAATTGACCATCAATACTGTTCAAAATTTCATGTTGTTTACATAATCTTGTGAAAGTACTTAGTTTTTGGTTATTGAGAGCGAGACAGTCTTTCAGTAACACTATCTCTAATCCTGAAGCTGAGGTTTTGGAAGGAGATGAAATTAAAAGGAGGTTTGTGATCAGACATTTTGGAATTCGAACTGGACTAAAGCGCGTCATGTTTCCAATTGAATACTTTCCATTTTTCCTTTTTATTATTCTTAAAGGAGAAGATTATTCTCCAAATTGGTCCTAGTTACTCTTCAGGATGGAGTGGAAGAAAGGAGGAAATTTTGAATGAGAAAAGGGATCCAATCCAATGATTCCAAAGGATTGAACGAGGATGCGAACAGGTGGCCTTTACTTATGAATTTTCTATTTATTTCTTTTCATGGGTAAGCTAGTTGTAGCCCTGCATTCCCTAGTTTGTAATCTTCACAAGTGAAGAGCCGAGTTACAGAAATGTAAGTTTTCATTGACCTCAAAAGGTAGCTGCAAAGGAGAGTGAGATTTGATATGTTGAACTCTTGTACTTACTTTTTATATTATTTTTCTATATCATTTAACTTAAATTACTTATGAACACTTATATTACTTACATTTTTACCTATTTTTTTTATTTAATTAGTCTCTGAAGTTAGAGTTGATTTTTCTTCCATGCACAAATTTCACTACTTAAGCAGTTGAAGTCTTGGCTTCTGGCTGTATTAAATCATGTAATATTGTTTAGATATAGGCTATGACATCATGAATGCTTCCCTCATTCTTTTCATTTATTAAAAAAAAAAAACTTTCCTCACTTTTTTAATTGTTCATGTGCAGAGAACATGGGAACGGGCAAAAATGGCAACTACATTGGATCATGTCGGTACGACTTGAGCTTCATCTTTTTGTTTTGGTGCTAAGGTTCATGAATCATATCATTGTCAGAACAGTTGCATCTCTCTTTTTGATGTGCTTAAAGATCACAAACTAAACAATTGGTTGCTTTACTATACTCATCCTCGGATGAACTAGTTCCCTCAATTCAGTATCTGGATCATTGCTTTGAGTAAAGTTTAAACCATAAATAATAGTTTTGCATTGATGATGACATTATCGTATATGAAAACTGTTAAACACATCATTTTAGGATTCTTTACATCTTTTTGGTATGTTTGTGTGGTTTTTCATTGGTAGCTTCTTTTCTATGTAGTTGTGGCAACCGATGATGAAAAGATTGCTGAATGCTGTCGAGGATTTGGTGCTGATGTGATAATGACATCAGAATCTTGCCGAAACGGTGAGAACCATTTTTTTTCTTTGTTGCAACTTTCAACATTTTTGTTGGGTTTGCCAATACCTAATAATAGTGATAATCAAATTTATAGGTACTGAGCGTTGCAATGAAGCACTACAAAAGCTCAAGGAAAAATATGATGTTGTCGTCAATATTCAAGGGGATGAACCTCTAATTGATCTGGAAGTAATAGATGGGATTGTCAAAGCGCTGCAGGTAAATTTGTTTCTATTTGATTTTCTCTCAATGAAGTGTCACTATGACCTCGTAAACAAAGAATCTGTGCTGTTCTTTGCCTAAATTCAGAAGTTCCCTTATTGTTCATATCAGCAACATGACATGAATTCTGAACATACTGGAATGTCACAGTAGATTCCATGCGTGACTGATCTTAGGGTTCCAAAAGAACACAGCATCTGTTGTCTTGTCTGAGTTTCACAGAGACACGACAAGCCTAACTTTCAGTCAAACTCCATCCTTTGTGTTAAAACTCATAATCCTTTAAATTTTCTCGGATGAAAACTAATAGCTGTGTAATTACTTGTAGCAAAGTGTTATTAGAAGTTTAAGCACAGATGCTGAGTTGCCCAGTTGTGGACAAGTAAGACAAAAATATATGCTCTTGCCCCAACCACAGTTTTGAAAGGCTTTACAGAGGCTTGCCTCAATGCTTGCCTTGCGGCGAGGTAAGGGAAAAATGCATCGAGGCTTGGATTTTTGAGACAATACTCTCAAAAGACTTGTGCATCACAATAGGAGGTGTGTGCCTTAGATGTGCGTTGTACACCTTTTTGTGCATAAGCATATATGGAGTAAGCATATGAAGAGCTTGTTTTAGACTCTTGTTAAACTTATCTAATAGATGATTTAAACATTTAAAAAAAAAAACCTTCTTTTGCAAATATATTCCATATGAAAAATCAAGTGACTGACCCAGTTAACAAAAAAACACAAAGTTAATGCTCAAATGAGAAACTCTAAAATTGAAGCTAAGAAAGTTGATTTGACTTGAGATGTGGACAAGCTCCCTTTTCTTCAGTGAAATGTTCTATTCTTTGAGGAGGAAAGTATTTTACACTTTCAAATTTAATTTTTAATATTTTTTCTATTTTACAATATTTTATTTATTTACTAAATATAAAGAAATTGTAATTAGAAATCTTTACGCCTTTACCTCACTAAAATGCTTCGCATAACGCATTCGGCTTTAAAAAATTTGGTTCCAACCTGGACTTTACTGTTGAGCTACTCTTGAGCCTTGAACCTCCCTTCTGGGGGCTAGCAGGAGACACCACTCTACGTAAAATCTGGTTGTGAGAAGTGTTCCAATCGCCCTGTGTGCCTGAAATAAAATGCAAATTCTTTTGAACTCAAATTCTTTTGCTCCGGTTGTTGTATTTTATCCAATAACTTCATGTATTTTGACCTCTGTAGGCAACCCCAGATGCAGTGTTTAGCACTGCAGTCACATCTTTGAAACCTGAAGACGCATTTGATCCGAACCGAGTGAAATGTGTAGTGGATAATCGTGGCTATGCAATCTATTTTTCAAGAGGACTGATGCCATATAATAAGTTAGTATTTTCATTATGTTATATTTGGTTGCATTTCACTTCTTTTTTTCTTTTCTTTTTTTCCCTTCTGAACGGTAAAACTGAGGATGTACATGCTAAATACAGGTCGGGGAAGGTCAATCCGCGGTTCCCATATTTGCTTCATCTTGGGATTCAGGTACTAAGTGAAATATTTCCTATAAAGGATATGCTATTTTTCTTTCCCTTTTATTCTTTTGTGGTGCTGTGTTATTTATTTCGCAATATTGGTATGACACTATGAGTAAAGAATGTATTTTTTTTCCCTCTAATATCTGGCCAGAGCTACGATTCGAAGTTCCTCAAGATATATCCAGAGCTACCGCCCACTCCACTGCAACTGGAAGAGGATCTGGAACAGCTGAAAGTCCTTGAGAATGGCTATAAGATGAAGGTCTTGTTAAAATTGCTTCCATTCTTTATTTGTTAACCGATAACTGATTTCCTTTTTTCCCAATTTCTTTTTGTTTTTTGGGTGAATAGTTATTAGTTTCCCAATTTCTTGCTAAAGCTGGTTTTTATGCTTCTATGGTGTTACAAGCATTGATATGCAAAGATTTAGAACATGGTTTCTACTAGTAACTATAAAACCTTATTTGTTTTCTTTACGCTGTGTTTGGATGGGAGATTTGGGAAGGAATTTGGAAAGGGAAAAGGAAAAGGTATGTGAAATATGAATAAAATATATTTGCATTTCACCTAGTTTCACACACCTTTTTCCTTTCTTTTTCCAAATCCCTCTCTAAATCCTTCAACCAAACACAGCCTCAGGCTTTTTATAGTAAGGTCAATGACCTCTTTCTATTACCAATTTGGTAAAATCTTGAGCTGATATATCTTCTTCTAACTTGTGCCCTAATAGGTGGTAAAATATCTGTGGAACTCAAGTGCCTGATTCTGCTGAGAATTAGCATTTGTTTATCATTATTCAAGTTCCCACGTATAACAAATGTTCCAACATACTATTTGTAGTCATTGGAGCATTCAGGGAACCTAAGCCATAAAAAATGTCCATCCTGAATAAAAAAGTGTTATTTTGGTCATCAATTGAACACTGGGTTGTGTTTTGGACCATATTAGTAACCTGTCCCTGGTTGGAAATGAGTTTTCTAAAAAATTTGATTGGAATTATTTAGGAAATGGTACGAACAGGGATGGGAATTGCTGCTTGAATTGTTATAGAAACATTAGTGAAACAATGCAGTTCTGAATAAGCTTTCTCGAGCCCTTCGTATAATAATTAACTAACACTGCTTTCTAGTTTCTTCAATCTTCTCACCTAAAGTTTTGTGTCTTAGCTGCTTTCTTAGACCTTTTTGCTTCCCAAATTTCTTACTAGTTGTCATATTTCTTCTGGCGTCATATCATATTCTTCATGTATATATTGAAAGCATTTGCTTTGTTCTATTTATTTCTGCTTCCATAAACCATCATTTGCAGTTCAGATGGAAATGAAAAGGTCGTCTTGTTTCCAGTGACCTTGCTCATTTTCTTGACATTATGTTTTGTTTATTATGTGAACTGGGAATATTACAAACTCCGAGAATTGAATATTAGAAAGATGGAGAATGGAAAGTTGATCCAGAGGTTCATGTGTTTCTTTTCTTGCAGGTCATAAAGGTTGACCATGAAGCTCATGGTGTTGACATCCCAGAAGATGTTGAAAAGATAGAACAGTTTATGCGCGAACGAAACCTGTCTTAGTTCTGGCAAAAATGCAACGAGGCACGTTAGAATATAATCTGGTATTTTCTGCCTAGAAGTCTACTTTTAATTCATTTCACTTAGAAATCAGTGGCACGTTCTTCTTCATTTAGAGCTCTGTCTTGTTCTATAAAATTACTTCACTAAAATCTACTGTATCAAATCCCTGTTTTTATACAAAGTTAAAAGATGTGCTATGCCTGTAACCCTAGCTTCAAGATCTTCATTGATGCATATTATGCCTAGTAGTTGTTTTTTTGTTTTTTGGTGTCATTTATAGATGTTGTGATTATGTTTATTATTTATGAGAGAATTGAAATATAGGCTGATGTACTATGAAAGTTCGTGGAAAGTTCTCATGGTTATGGATTCAGTACTTCCATGGCATTGTTTTTATTATCTGATGATTGCATTGCAAAGTTTTTGTTTTAAATTTTTCATGGCACTTGAATTTATGTATAACAGAGTAAAGCATAATATGAATGAAGTAGCAAATTCTTTTTATCAACTGATTTTAGTTTAAAAAATGGGAGGTCATGTAGAGAACCTAGGTCATAGTACAAAATCATATGATCTTTGAGAACAAATTATCTTCCTATGTTCATATTTGCAGAGGTCTCGTGGCAAATGGGACGTAGGGTTTTGTGTTAGCATTGTGCTTTAACTAAAGAAAGCAGAAATCAGAGCTTTTAATGAAACTCTTGTGCTGTGTTTGGTTTTACAATTTGGTTAGGGAAAGGAAATGAGAATTGGTCTCTTTTCTTTTTCTTTTTTTTTTTGTGAATTTTAGCCCAACTTTTCCTTTTGGTTTTTTTGTGACTTTTCTTTTCCAAGTTTCAAACAAAATTTTTGGTCATATTTGTTTGTGGGATTAAAAAATTTAGCGGGATTAGGAGGATGATGAGATTGAATGATAAAATTATTAATATAGTAGTAATACGTTGGAGATATAAGATAAAACATATCTATTTGTGTACCAATTTGTGATATTAGTTAATTATGATTAAAATTATAAAATTACGTAAAAATCCTTATCATGCACAAAGTAATATTTTCTAAGTGGGTAATGCTAAACACACTATTGTACTGTTGTGGAGATGGATTGTTCCATAAGATTGTTTCACAAACAATTATTCTTTCAGTGGGGTTGTGGATTACTAATCCAATCTCTTTCTTAAATTCTCATTCAAACATGACATTCGAAGCTAGAAAATTATTAGTAGAGGGTCTATTCGGTTAGTTTCTACTTGTTTTCAAAATAGAGGTACAAGTTGCGACCTTATTTTCAAAAATAAATTTTCATTTCCTCCTCTATTACACCTACTCCTCTTGCCAGAGATTGCCCCTTTTAACTACTCATTAAATACATTTTACTTTTGAATAACTTATGTGTACGTGCTTTAAAATTTACTTAAAATATAAATTGTCCTTTTATGATTTAAAATTTTATAAATATTCTCTTGTCATAATTTTTTATTTGACGAAATTAATTAAAAAAATAAAATTTCTAATTATTCTTCTATATGATAATAAAAGGATAAATTACAATGATAGTCTCTATATTTTGTCTAATGTGTCATTTTAATCCTCACACTTTCAAATGTTTCAATTTTGACCCTTAATTATATATTTTGTGTCAATTTAGTCTAATTAACAATATGTTAGTATTTTTGATGAAAAATTATCACTAAATTAGTTGAGATTAACTTATTAAATTGAGCAAGTTTATAATTTTACCCTTAAAAGCATGATATATGCCCACTTAGGTGTTTATTTTTCATTAGAAAATGCTAACAATTATAATTGGTTAGACAAAATTAAGGCAAAATTATAAATTTATGCTCAAATTTGAACCAATTGAAATTACAAGAACCAAAATGACACAATGACTAAAATACAAGGACTACCGGCGTAATTTGCCCATAACAAAGTTACATAAATTATTACTAATAGAAATGAATTCTGACATCATAAAAAACTGTTAATTAAATTAATAAAAGAGGTTATTTGTCATTAAATTAAAAACTTCAATAGAGCGAATGTAATTTTCAGAATGTAATTCATATTTTATACCGGGTGTATTTATAATTCACTTTCCATTTTTATTCTTAAATGTATTTTGTTTTGCACCCAACACAATCAAGATTTGTACCTAAAACATACTGTTTGGTTTAATTTTTAAATTAACATTCGAATCAAAAAAATGAAGAAACATATTTGATTTATCAATTTTTAAAATTATTTTTTTCTCTCGTCTCTCTTTTTTTTTTTATTAATAAATCAATCAATAATTTTTTCTTTCTCCTCCCTCACACTCTCACATTATACACATTAATTAATTAAATTTTTTTCTTACACCCATGTAGGCAAAGATTTTCACCAATTTGTAAATTTATGTGTCATTTAGCTTCTGATATGATATTTCCCCAAAAGAATAGAGGTCAGAGATTGATAAGGACCACCACCAACCAAACCTCCTACGTACCAAAACAGAGAAATTCTCAGTTTTGGGGAATTGTAAATTTACAGACACAGGACACAATGGCAATCCTTTATGGTTAAAATGCCCTACCAAACATCCCAGTCAATGATGATCTCTGTGTGTTTTTTTTTATGTTTTGAGTTTGCGTGTATGTGTGCATTCATGGATGAAAACACATAAAATAATGATAAGGTAACTTTCCATCTCAAATGTCATCTCTGTAAATTGTAAGAGACTATAATATGACTATTAATTTTGGAACTCTAAAAAGATCACTAATGACATGGTTCTTAATAAAAAAAAAAAAAATACAATACCAAGATCAAAACATCAAATCAATCATGGTGAGATTCACTACCACATCATTAATGATAACACTAATTAGTGCTCTCACTCATTTTCCAAATAAGACTAACAAGAAATGATTACAATCTAGTCTGCTTATACACACACTCTTTTTTTTTTTTTTTTCTTCCATAATTGCATTCCCTGAAAAGCTACTCTGTTTTACATATAATTGTATAGAGAAATTGCATTTCACTTGATAATAATTCAAAATAATCGTATTTTTTATAGAGTTTCAAAAAATTGCAACTATCCCTATTGAAATGCAATGAATATAATAATGATAGAGAATTTTAAATTTTGAGTTCTAAAAAGAATTTTAATGATGTAATAAGAAAGAAAAAAATAAACATAAAAATATAAAGTCAAAACATCATATCAATAGAATATGATACACCTCCAAAGCTCTTTTAGAACTCATGTTTCAGAGCTCCAAAACATTTTTATTGTATTGCCCGAAAGGGACTCTGTTTTTTGCTATTCTGATTTGGTAGGTGGGTCGGTGACCAAATGGACTTCTGTTTTGAAGAGAAGGAAACAGAGTGAGTGGTGTTTTGGGAAGTTAGTAAAAAGTTGATTTTTTTATTTTTTTGACTTTTTTAGTGACTTTTTTGACAAAAAACTGATTTATTTTGACTTTTTTAGTGGTTTTTTTTTGGGCAAAAACCTGGGTTATTGTTGATAAAAAAAAAAAAAACTGACATTTTTTGGTTAAAAAAAAGCTAGAAAAAAAAATAATTTTTTACCATTGCTCCCAAAAGACCCTGAGTCGAAAGTGATGTAGACAAACCCACCCGGTGAGTGAGTCACAAACGATTCGAAAACTCTTCCCCACCACACAGTGCCACGCCGGCCCATGACTCAAGTCAAACTCCTGCACCGAGCCCAAATAAATAAATAAATATAAATACTCCTACATTACATATCTTTAAGAGAAAATTAGTATGTCTTTTAATTTTAACATACTTGTGTTAGTGAATTTTTGACCACACTGTCAACTCAGTATTCAGCTGGAGAGTATGACAGAATAGATGGCGCCTGATTGACCTGCAATAGAAAGAAGAGATTCCGGTGGTGGTTCGTCCACCCGGGTACTCCGACGATCAAGTCAGATATCTCTCAAAGATAGATCAAGTACTTAACTTACTGTTCAGAATATAAATTGCGTACCTTAGACCCATGGGTTAGTCCCAATAGAAGCCTACTTCAATAAAATTCAGCTAAGTGCTTATCTTAGACTCTCCAATAGAAGGCTAGCTTCAATAGAATTCAGCTCAGTGCTTATCTTGGACTCTCCAATAGATAAAAGATAAACTCCCTAAGAGCTTTATCCTTATTCAGGTTGAAGTCCTTCCTCATTCTAGGACTCTTGTTTCTTATCCGCTTATCCTGGACTCCGATATCTTCGGAGATAACCTCGGCTTATCCGAGATCACCTCGGCATCACGACCAGGACACGTGGCACCCCGATTGACACGTCGACGTCACTTTGATCACGTGTTGGTACTCAGAAAATATATCCCCACAATACTTATATTAAATTTTTAAAAAAATTTAATTCATATAATATTTAAATATTGTTTGGGATGATAAATTTTTGATTGAAATAATTAAAAAGTCAAAATATTTTATTTAAGAATTGACTATTTTAATTAATTTTTTAATTTTTTTACCAAAACAGATAAAAAATAGAGAGAGTGATATAACTGAATATTTTGTTCTATTCACTATTTTAATTCATCCTACATTGGATCCACTCTCTATTTTTTATGCGTCTTTTTATAAAATTATTAATGTGGTAGTAATATGTTAGAGATATAAGATAAAATATATTTGTTTGTGTACCAATATGTGATATTAGTAAATTATGATGAAAATTATAAAATTAGGTAAAAATCTTTATCATATACAAAGTAATATTTTATAAGTGGGTAATGCTAATCACACTATTGTACCATTGTGGAGATGGATAGTTCCATACGATTTTTTCACAAACAATTATTTTTTTCAGTGGGGTTGTGGATTACTGATCCAATCTCTTTCTTAAATTCTCAATCAACATGACATTCGAAGCTAGAAAATTATAAGTAGAGGGTCTATTCGGTTAGTTTCTACTTGTTTTCAAAATAGAACCTTATTTTCAAAAATAAATTTTCATCTCCTCTTCTCTATTACACCTACTCCTCTTGCCAGAGATTACCCCTTTTAACTACTCGTTAAATACATTTTATTTTTGAATAAATTACAAATACATATTTTAAAATTTGTTTAAAATACAAATTGTTCTTTGTGATTTAAAAATTTATAAATATTCTTTTGTCGTAATTTTTTATTTAACGAAATTAATTGAAAAAATAAAATTTATAACTATTATTCTATACAATAATAGAAGGACAAATTACAATGATAGTCTCTATATTTTGTCTAACGTGTCATTTTAATCCTCATACTTTCGAATGTTTCGAGTTTGACCCTTAATTATATATTTTGTGTCAATTTAGTGATGTTTTGGAAAGTTGGTAAAAAACTGACTTTTTAACTTTTTGACTTTTTTGGCAAA